TGGAGGTATAGCTCCACAATTCTTGACCTCGGCACTAGATGAAGGTGAGTGGTCAACTCCACGCCCTGGCTTCATTACCTCCGGGGAGAGAGTCCCCGGTACCCATTGAATAGGAGGCTGGGTGGGCCCCAGAGCCAGTCTGGACGCTGTGGTGAAGAGAAAAACCAGTAATCGAACCCCGGCCGTCCAGTCCGTAGCCCGTCGCTATACTGACTGTGATCTACCCGGGTTCATAATAACAAAACAAGCCAGAAAGTCGCGGGTTCGATTCCCGATGAGGTCATTGCATTTTTCAATTGATCTAATCCATCTTTCGGGGGGGGGGTAAAGGGCGACCGGCGCGTTAGGCTGACAATCTTACCGCCATCTGTTAGCCGACTGTTTAAGAGAAAATGTAGGAGCCTCGACGTTTCACAACCCTATGGGCCTCCAGGGGCGGTTTGAGTGATAGCTTTACCTTCCTTTTTTACCTTTAGTAGTAGTAGTAGTAGTAGTAGTAGTAGTAGTAGTAGTAGTAGTAGTAGTAGTAGTAGTGTATGCTAGACAATACGCCCCCTGAGGCCGTCTGATTTCACATCTAATCTCTGCATATTTCCGCTTTTAAAAATCACGCCTCCAACCGGTCACAGAAACTATGAGGCTATCGACCCCAGACAGAGGTGGGTTCAATAACTTCCGATAACGTGCACATTAAGCGACTGATAATCCTGCATATTATCAATACAGCGTTATGAGCTTAACTACGGAGAAATTATAGGCTCACCTCAAACGTAAATATGTACAGAAAATTTCACATGTTGTTATCTCAAAACAATTACAGTACGTCAACTGATATACTGTGTACAGATACATGTGAAAATAAATGGAGGTATTAATTTTGTGACTCAAGCCTACACAGACACCACTTCTTGAATTATTAATGTATTTCATCTTCTACAAAAGAAGTCTTCAAACGGTAACGAACAGACAAAAAAAATAAAGTTGTCCCTGTGTTTAATTAAGCGCCAAGCCATGAAGACGTATGGTGAGTGGAGGTATAGCTCCAAGTATTCTTAACCTCAGGCCTAGATGGAGGTGAGTGGTTAGCATTATACATCGGCTGCTTTATTCCTACAGAAATACTCCCTCGTAACCAGTGGGTATGAAGCCAACCCGGAGACTGTGGAGATAAAAATCTCTTGTTGCTACCTGAAAACGAACTCCGTACGGCGTGCACACCCGATTTTTAGGGATTGAACACACAGTTGTTGCATCCAGTGAGTATACAAATAATAGAATTTGGAATTAGGCGGCCGGCTAGATATCCAGCACACAACGAAAAGACAGTTCATACACAATTTTGGCTGAAAAACTTCAAGGGGGAAGCTTTTAAAGCCTGAGCAAAAAGAAAAAAAAAATCCGTGGTCTGTAGTCCGCAAACGAACTATACCGACGAAGCGACCGCCGATTGTCGGCGAAGTTAGTGCCAACTTTAGCGGATAGAGGGTGTCGCATGGTCAGCGCAACGGATCTCCACGGCCATTAATTTCGGTTTTCTTGACCGGAGCCGTTATTTCCTTGAAATAGCTCCTCAATTATCCTCACGAGGCTGAGTGGACACCGTTCCAGACCCCAATACTTCTCAGAAAATGTGGTAGCGCCGGGAATCGAACCCGGACCTCTGGATCTGTAGCCAGGAACTCTTACCACTAGACCACAGAGGCGATCTGGAAGGCGTGAGCACAGTTACGATAACATTAAGATGGTAGAGGTAAAGGTATCGTTGTGACAGGCCGTGAACACCAACTGGGTTATGCGGTTGAGGCTCCCACATCTTCTAGACAATCTGCTCACAGATGGCGATGAGGCTGTCAGATCTAATTTGGTTCATCCTGGTCCCTCACTCTAGCAATATTATAAAAAGTTATGAACTGCGTCCAGTGTGACCTTTCATCCTTGACATGTTTCGGTCTCAGAGATCATTTCAGAAGGATATATCAATACGAGCGGTAACTACTGCTGCAATGTGATTGGTCAATATCAATACATATACACAATATCATCACAATGCCATGAACATAAAATATGAGCCTGCAGCAACTACAGCTACGTGCATGAATATATTAAAATATTTATAAATTATTGCAATTAGTCTGTTTACAAGTTTGGTTTAAAAATGATTTTGTTAAGATTGTAACTGTAACAACAACTTATTTGTGCAAGGTAGGTGCTCCATTTGGGAGGTGAGCGTTGTGTACCGCCTCTACCTTGTTATGCTGTCCCGGGGACATCGTGACAATACTTGTGTCGCTCTCGCGGGCGGAGGCGTACCTGTCCAGTGACTGTGACTGTTGTCAGGGTGGGTGTCACAACGCTCACACAGGAGCTCCTCACCACACGCCCCTCGCCCCTCGCCACCGAATGGACAATTATATCCATCTCCTTTCCGAAACATTTTAACACAACGCGTTTCCTATTGCTTCATTCGATACAGTTCGATACCTGGCAACGGCAAGAGATTTCTCTGAACTCCACATTGTACAGAACGGCTCTGGGGGCCACCCAGACTCCTATCCAACATAGTGGGTGCTTTCCCAGTGGGTAAAGCGGCCGGGGCGTGAAGAGAACCACTCACCTCCATCTAGTTCCGAGGTCAAGAATGGTAGAGCTATACGTCCACTCCTCCACATGTCTCCTTGCTGTGATGCTTGATTAATTAGGCACGAGGGCAACTTTACCTTTTACCTTCGCCTTTTATACAGGTGTGGAACGCTGTCTCTTACTGTGAGTTTGATCCGTCCCTGTGTTTAAGCTGGCTGGCTGCATCTGACCGACCCCTATCCCCCAAAGGTGTCTCCACTTTGTCGTGATGGTGGGGCTTGCTTGACTGTGACCTGGAGAGCTATGCTGGAGGGTAGTTTAACTACCAGTAGGGTCACCCATGCCGGAAAGGTCAAAGGGTAGAGTCCAGACTAAGAGAGATACCCTGGTCCTCCAGGTTGGGGGTTGGACATGAGGCTAACAACCTCATCTTGTAAAAAAAAAATGTGTTCCGAAACCTAACAACCAGCCTCGGGTCATCACGCGTGGATGCAATCCTATGGCAGCACGCATTGGTTGTGGAGACTGGTTGTAGAGGAGACCAAGGCTCACCCAGGGCTGTAGCGCCGAGAGGTAGGTAGGCAGGACCGACCCCTATAGTCTTCGTATTGTGTCGTGTCTAGCTTCGCTGATCAACTGTGATGTAACCGCGAGAAAACTTGCCAAACTTCAATCTCGGTGCCCCTTTGTGAGGACAGAAGGCATCAGTGTTAAAGAGTGCTACAGGTCCAGTGAAATCGGCCTTTATCTTCTCACTACGTGTTGTGGGCCAAACAGTCGTCTTCTGTTTCTCTCCGCTTCAGACGTATCATTGTTCCCTCCTACTGTGACGTAAAGACACACGAGACGTGGGAATAAGTGGATGTATTCTTAACCTCGGCACTATATGGAGGTGAATGCTCAGATTCCGGTTCCAGCAGCCTTTACCTTCGAGACAGATCCATCGTACGCATTGGCTAAGAGGTCGGGTAAGCCCCAGAGTCAGTCGCCATGCAGTGGTGAAGAGAAAATTCCTTCTAACTCTAATAAAATTTTTGTAAGTGCCTAGAATTATATTTAGATTTCGCTGTTTCTTAATAGTATAGTTTACTTATATGTGGTATTTACTCAGGGACACGCTGTAGCGTCGTTGGTTGAGCCACTGTGCTACAAGCCGAAAGGTCGTGGGTTCGATTCCCGATGAGCTCATTGGATTTTTCAGTTGACTCAATCCTTCCAGCCGCATTATGGCCCTGGGGTAGACTCAGCCTCTAACAGAAATGAGTACCAGGAATCCCTGGGGGTAAAGTTTGCCGGCCGTAATGCTGACCTCACCGCCATCTCTGAGCCTACTGTCCAGAAACTGTGGAAGACTCGGCGTCTCACAACCCTATGAGCCTCCACGGCCTGTTACAGGGATAGCTTTACCTTTTTTACATGTGTTAACAATACTCAGAACTGACATAACCAATGTTGCAAAAAGAATAGGATGGTCGCCTCATATTCGAGCTTTTATGGTATCTGTGGCTTTTAAAGTAGTGACTGTTTATTATTCTAGAATCTATTTCAGAAAGTTGCTACTATCTCAACGACACAGCTACAGGGTCTGGTATAATGACTAAAAAGAAGATAAGTTATCCCTGTAACAGGCCGTGGAGGCCCATAGGGTTGTGAGACGTCGAGTCTCCCGCATTTTCTAGACAATCGGCTCACAGATGACGATAAGGTTGTCAGTCTTACGCGCCTGCCGTCCTTTATCCGCCAGGAATATTCCTGGTACTCATTTCTGTTAGGGGCTGAGTCTACCCCATGGCCATAGTCCGGGGTACTCATTTCTGTTAGGGGCTGAGTCTACCCCAGGGCCATAGTGCGGCCGGAAGGATTAAGTCAACTGAAAAAAGAATCCACCTCTATAGTATGGATAGTTGTTACTGATTCCATATCAGCTGAACAGGTTATCTGGCACTGAATGAGCGAAAGATTGCCTGTGCTCTCTGGATTAAAAACGACTGAGGAAGAAGCAGTCATGGTCAACTTCAAGATGGACACCTGATGTAAAATAAAGTTGTGCACACCATAAAGAATGGAGCATTCTTAACCTTCACATGGATGAAGGTGAGTGGTCAGCTTCACGCCCCAGCCATTTTACATCCCAGATAAATAACCCACAGCTGATCTGAATACTGTGGAGGAAATATGATCTGTTACCCTTGCTGGTAATCAAACCTGGTCTCTAAGTGGTCCAGCCTGCAATCTAATCACTATACTGAGTTATTTTATTTCCCAAATAACATGAGGGTCTCAGGAAATCCATAACAGCCTCCTACAACTGGTGCTTCAGACGAGGCTGAAACGAATATGTACCGAATACAGGTCTGTAACGTCACCACTCTGCTACCCTGCTCACAAAACACTGTCTCTGGACAACTTCCCTCACTTACCTAAAACTGGCCTGGTGATGGTGATAGGGCGGAGGCCCCATGTTGCCACTGTGTCTTTGGTTGTCCACTGTGGTGGCCTGCTGCTGGACTAGACGTAACAACAATGGTTGGTACTGCTGCTGTTGAGGGCCTCTCTGTTGCTGGGCTGTGTTGGGCGCCAGGTCCTGAAGCGGAATCATGTCCGCATGCGCGGGGTTGCTGCGACGGTTCGACGCACTGACAGCAGCATTTCGCTGTTCCCTGGCTGCTCGGAGCGCGCGTTTGCGCCGCTTCACGTTGCGACGAACACAGCACTGAACGGAGAGCAGCACTGTGCACACCATGGCGATCATGCACCCGATGTACACCAGCACCAGCAGGTCACCACCGCGGGACTGTCTTCGCAGCACTCCGCCGGCGATAGTCAAGGACACCCCTGTCAGGATACCCGCGATGAAGACCACCTGTCGGCAGAGGGCGCATCAACTGTATCAGTGCCATCTTCAGGCGACTGTCGTGAGTCCCGCGGAACCCAGAATGATGTGCTGGCGAGTGCCAGCAGCAATTTATCCGACCGATCGAGAAGGCGAGGCAAATGGTACGTAGAACTGGTCGACTTCGACTGTAGTCATGAAACTACTGTTTAGGGTTACTTTAAATAAAATTATTACTGGTCTTGCTGAAAGAGTGACTGCATTGTGGAAGCGTTATGTGCATTCAGTTGGAGGGAGGGTACGTTAATTGTTTGTCGTGCTTTATTTTGAGCAGAACAGTACTGGAGAAGGGGAAAAGGTCGCCATTTGAATGTGGATCTGATCCAAAAGTTCTGCGTGTAATTCTAATGAGAATTCATTACGATTTATTTTTAACTGTAGTAATCTTCCTTCCTGCTGCTCATTTAGGGACGCAGTGTGCTTCAATGTACTAACAGCAATGCTAAAAGCAGCCAGAAAATCATTCTGATGTCTTAAGCTTGCACAGTACACATGGGCGGGCACAGGCAACTGCTCGCCTTCTCTTCGTTGGAAGCCTCTCTTCTCTAAAGCGTAATAAGCATAGGGGTTGTACAATGGTGAACGTGCACACTAGGACATAAGGCAGCAAAGAAAGAGAGGGGTAAGAAATATATCAACAGAAGGAACTGAAGAGATATGGAAGTAAGAAAGAAAAACTAGGAAGGAGAAGAATGAATCATATACACCATGAACAAGATGCAGGGATAGAAAGAGAAGAAATAAAAGAAGAAACAAATAGAACAAAGACAATAAAAGGGGGAAGGAAATAAAAGAAACAGAAGGAAAGTAGAAAAGGAAGAACAGGTGGGTAAAAGAGGGCACATAAGAAAGCAAAGGAAAAGCACGAAAGAAAGAGAATGGAAATAAATAACAAAATGAAAAATAAAGGGGAAGAAGCAAAGAAACAAACAAGATGGAAATAAGGAAAAACAGAACGGAAAAGCAAAAAAGACAGTTACTTTAGGGCAGATATGGGAAGAGAAAGACATGAAGCTCCCTCTGTTCCCCAGTTGACCCAGAAACACATAACACATGGATGGCTCCTTAACTATAGTCGCTGCAGACTCTTGCTCTCACACAGAACACGCACCTGAAGACAGTAATAGCAGAAGTTCTCGAAGGCAACACAATGGCCACCGCACCCATCGACCGCTCCTCCACTTCCGCCGCCAGACATGCCGCCTGGAGAGCTTGCGGGGGTCACCGGTCGATCCCTGTCCGAGGCAGCTCTTGAGGACGAGGCATAGTGCTGAGACTTGGTGATCGCAGCCGCGGTGCCTGAGACGCCGGACGGTACAAGGAGCGGGTTGGCGGCGCCCGAGGATGGAGGACCATCTACAAGAGCTGTTGGCATGATGATACCTTCTATAGAGACAGTTACACACGGGTGGTAGGGTACAAATGTTGAGAAAACAATTCAGCTCAAACAATAACTTAAAGGCGTCCTATGGCCCTCAAACGCTCGGTACAAGATACTCTTTCCCCGGATATAAAAGCAGGTGAAGAGTTAAGCTGTCCCATTACCTGCGTTTGCTACTAAAATTCCTAATGTCCCGAGACTTCCCACCACCTTTCCTATCTCCCTCATGGCGATGAGCATACCTTCTATTTGATCTGCGAGCGGAAAATGGCCCGCACTGCGGACTTGCTGCTGATGGTTGTAAGCCATCATGGCCCCCGAAGGCTCGGAGTGGGGGTGTGGCAGCCATAACGAAGAAGGGGGTCCAGGACCGCGATGTTGCTGTTGTTGGTGGTAGGTCCGACTGCTGGACGAACTGTTGGTCGACTGAGACTCGCGACACTCCAGCTGCTGCTGTTCCGATATCCAGGGGTTCCTGCGGCAGCAATACGAACAGACAAAATTAGAGCCCAGGAGTTCCTACGACACACATACGAAAAGAAACATCAGTGCCCACAGGTTCCTATGGCAACAAATGGAACGATCAGCTCCGGGAATTCCTATGGCAACAGTATGAACAGAAAGAGTAAGTGCCCAGAGGATCCTATGGCATAAATACGAAGAGAAACACGCCCACGCGCCATTATTAATAACAGTAATTCGGTTTTCAGACATTACTGCATGACAGAATACAAAGCAAATGTCCTAATTATTTACAAAAATAAATATCAACTGCTGATGACGCATGTCCAGTTAGATTTGCGTTGTTGGAGCTTTAATAGGCTACAGAGCGAGGAGAATGACAGTGTCATGCGAGTAGCATACCACTGTTCTGCAAGGCGCGGCTGACTAATTACAGATCTCACCGCAATTATCAACATTTAAAGGATAAACTTATTACAAGACTAGAGAAGGTAAACACCAAACTACCTTATGTCCTTTTAGACGACAAAGCGCACCTTCTGAGGTTCTGAAGAGAAGAAGAATTTTGAACTGTCGAACGCCTCTGTGGTCTAGTAGTCGATTCCTTGTACTGACCACGCGACACCCTCTATCCGCTGAAGTTGGCACTAAAATTTCGCCGACAAGCGGCGGTCCCTCGGTCGGTATGGTTCGCTTGCGGACTAAAATCACGGAGTTCTACGTCTTGGTGTTCCTACTGTTCTCTTCTGGCTTTTCCACCAATATCTTATATGCATTCATTTCCTCCCCATTCGTTCTACATGCTTTACCCATCTCATCGTCCCTGACTTAACATTCTAATTATACTCGGAGAAGAGTACAAGTTACGAAGCTCCTCATTATGCAGTTTTCTCCAACCTCCTGTCACTTCATCACTCTTCGGTCCAAATATTCTCCTCAGCACCCTGTTCTCTGACACCCTCAGTCTATGTTCCTCCCTCAATGTCAGAGACCAAGTTTCACACCTATACAACACAAGCAGTAAAATTACTGAGTTGTACATTCTGATCTCCGAACGAGCTTCATTAAAGGTGATTTCTGTCTGGACTGTTTAGGGCAGCCACACAGGCCTAGGCACTGCTTGCAATGTGAGTACGTGTGTCTTCCTTTCGGGAACCAGGCCAACTACTCCAAGAATGTGACGCAAACTACAAGCGAGAGGTTCTTTGGCTGTAAAATAGCTTTGTAAGCCCATGTGGTGCGAAGGCACGGTAAATGAATACAATACAAGAAATAAAGTTCTGCCGAATGCTATTTACTCGTAATACACGGACAGATACGAAGGTAAATGTGAATGCGCGCGAGTGCGCGTGCGCGTGTGTATGCGTGCGCATGTGTGTGGCTACTCTGTGTACAGAGTAAACATTGACTTTTCGTCATCTCCAAAAGCAAACTACAAAGTGAATACCAGCAGCTCTTAGTTTAAACAGTTACTCTTTGTTGTAGACATGACACAAGAGCGATGAATACAGAACCATGAATTGTTAGACCTCGGTGAAGACAAGGTTCCTTGAACCGTAACGTATAATAACAAGCTAAAATATTGTATTATCTGTGGTACAGTGTCCGACACTTTTTGTTGATTCGTAGACCGTTTATGTCAAGTGGAATGTTTCTTGTTCTACCCAACGCCTTTCACTACCAGGAAGCTTTATCGAAAAGTATACATACACGTACAAACAGGTTCTCACAGTATGTGCTTGCAGACGGTCATAGTCAGTTTATATATATAAAGAACTGCGTGGCCTGTAGTCCGCAAGCGAACTATACCGACCGAGCGACCGCCGCTTGTCGGCGAAGTTAGTGCCAACTTTAGCGGATAGTGTCGCGTGGTCAGCGCAAGGGATCTTTACCCTGGGGACAGCCCACGGAACCCGTTGGATAGGAGACTTTGGTAGGCACCAGAACAAGTCTGGACGCCGTGGACATGTTAAAAATACCTTGTCCCAGCTGGGAATCGAACCCCGGTCGTTCAGCCCGTAGCCTGTCACTTCACCGACTGAGCTGTCTATGTAATACGAACATTAATATTTTTTATCCCTTAATCTCTCTACGTACATTCAAGGCGTATCCCAATCTATTGTTCACATAAAGTCAACTGTGACGGTAGAATATAAGACTTTAACGGCGGTCAATTTTCTGTGTATTTATTTAACGACGCCCATATTAACCCAAACTGTACGGCTTCGAATGACTGGATGAGTGTGAAAGGATATGGGAATCAAGCGACCGTTGCCTAATTTTGGTTACTATCCCAGCCTGGAATGCCTTAGGAAATTCCTGTCATGATACTCGTTGACCCGGCCGAGGTTCGAAATGGCTACTTACCGAATACAAGTCAGAAAGGTTAGGCTAGAACCTATTTATTCTGCATATTTACTAACTAAATAGCCTGTAACCGGCCGTGGAGGCCCATAGGGTTGTGAGACGTCGAGGCTCCCACATTTTCTAGACAATAGGCTCACAGATGGTAGTAACGTCAGTCTTAATGCCGGCCTCCTTTACCCCTAAGATTACTGGTAATTCTGTATTTCAGCATCCTGTTGCAAAACTTTAATTAAAACGTCTACGTGTCCACAGTCCGTCAATAATGCAACAATTGTTTATTCACCATTTAACACTTAACACAACATGTTTCGGCTAGAGATGGCCATCTTCAGGTGTCTTCTGCTCTAATATGGGCTAAAACGGCGCACTGAAGTGAGATGGAATAGGATTTTACAAACATAATAAAAAAATTTAATAGAAAATTTTAACGGATTTTAATTAATTATTTTAATGTTATTTTTAAGTGGACTGCAGCGCGCGGTTTTAACCGAAACATGTTGTGTTAAATGTTAAATGGTGAAAAAATAATTGTTCCATTATTGACGGCCTGTCAATACATAGACGTTTTAATTAAAGATTGCCAGTACTCATTTCTGTTTGAGGATGAGTCCACCCCAGGGCCAGAGTGCGGCTGGAAGCATTAGGTAAATTGAAAATAAATATATCTGATGATATCACAGGGAATCGAAACCGCGACTTTCCGGCTTGTAGCACAATGCCTCAAACAACTACGCTACCGCGTGCCCCTATATTTAGTATGTATGGTGTGTACATAGGTGACCATTGCTCTGGAATCATGACACAAATTTTTGAACGCACACTGTATCCATGACGTAATGATGTGGGTGGCGCGTGTTATTTCATCCGTGAGATGGGCATGTCAGATGTTGTAGTGATTCTCAGACAATAGAATTGGAATACGTTTATGTGGGAAACTGATGGACAATGGGAGGAGAGTGCAAATAGCAATCATGTAAAATTTATGAAGCCACTTGAGGCCAAGCCATGAGAGGCTGTTGCTGTGATAGCAACAGTTCAGTACAGCACAATTCCCCTACCCGCTTGGATTCAAAGTTTCGTTCAACCCTAACCTCAACTAATCAACTAAGTGGCTGTATGCCTATGGAACAGAGATCTCTTGAGAAGCTAACAGTTGCTCTGGTCAATGAAATCCATACTTCCTGTGGAGCCCGGAAGTTCATTACGGCGTTCACGAGGGCCACTCGACTCGTGTCCTGAAATCCTATAAACAGGATTATGAATCCTACAGTGTCTTTTGTTGAGAAGCTGCGTTGGAACGGGACAAATACAAACAACGGCTACGAATCTTAAAGTGTTGCATCCTGTTTGTGCTTACAAACAAAAATGTTGCGGTTGTTTACTGTCACACAAACGAATGTCTTTCGTTATCAGTTCACAACATGTTTCAGCCTATGCATGCCATCACCAGGTGATTCTTGAGGAAATAACAAGAATATTGGTGGCGAACTACACATAAACGACAGAGTTAGTATGGAACATTTTCTTTTCTAGTTACAACTGGTCGGATCTCACATAATAAAAAAGTCAAAAACTATTCCTGTAACAGTAACAGGCCGTAGAGGCATACAGAGTTGTGAGACGTCGAGGCTCTCACATTTTCTAGAGAGTCGGCGCAAAGATGGCGGTAAGGTTGTCAGCCTTACGCGCCGGCCGCTCTTTAGCACCCCCCAGTAAGATTCCTGGTACTCATTTCTGTTAGAGGCTGAGTCGACCCCAAGGCCATAGTGCGGCTGGAAGGATTGTGTAAACCGAAAAAATCCAATTACCTCGTCGGGAATCGAAAACGTGACCTTCCGGTTTGTAGCATCGTGCCCCCTCCCCACTTTTTATCAAGGTAAAGCTATCAGGGTAGCAGGCCGTGGAGTCCCATAGGGTTGTGAGATGTAAAGGCTCCCACACTTTGTAGACAATCGGCTCACAGATGGCGGTGAGGTTTTCACATAATAATAAATATATTTCAGATTCGAAATTAAGGCTTAGAAATTTAACAATGCAGAGAGAAGCTTCCTCTGATACGCGGTTATGAAGCTGGTCTGGTGGTAGTCGCATCCTCCACAAAGGAAATAAACAAGTATCTGAAGAAGGCCCAACTCCAGAACAGCTTCACAGCCACGTCTCAAAGGAATCCCCTCTCTACACTGTTTTAATATAATCTTTAATACTTGATTTAAATCGAAAATACGCCTGATGATGACCTGCCTAGGCCGAAACATCTTTTGAACTGACAATAAATGACATTTTTTCAATGACTAGGAAACTATCACCACAATTATCCAGATTAAAAACTCCGTGGCATGTAGTCCGCAAGCGAACTATACCGATCGACCGAGCTACCGCCGCTTGTCGGCGAAGTTAGTGCCAACTTTGGCGGATAGAGGGTGTCATGTGGTCAGCGCAGCAGTTCCCCACGGCAGTTCAACCCGGTTTTCTAGAATGGAGCCGCTATTTCCTTGAAATAGCTCCTCAATTATTCTCACGAGGCTGGGTGGACCCCGTTCCAGACCCAGTACTTCTCAGAAATCTGGAAATCGAACTCGGGACCTCTGGATCTGTAGCCAGGAACTCTGACCACCAGACCACAGAGGCGGTCCTTATACAGAATAGCTGAAGCAAAAGCCCATGGCCTAAGGCATAAGAAGAAATATATATCTGGTTAATTTATCTTGCGATAATAAAGCAGGAGGCGTCGGAAACTTCCGGTAACAATACTTTCAGCATGCACTGCAATATATCCGTTAATAACTACGTCAGAATTCTGTTTCATCGGGTGAACTGTTTGCGTGTTTGTTACTTTCTGTCATGCGACCCGTAGGAACTTCCATCATGTCAAGCTTTTACGAAATAAGTACTAACAAGCTGTAACATGTTCTAAAGTGCAACAAAATGCAAACACCGCATGACACTAATAATGTTTACTCTTTCAATCGCATCAAAAACATTTTTCCAAACAGACAGTATGAGTCAAGTTTACCATCTACAAACAGTAACGCAATGTATCCGGTTAAAGTTCGCCGACATTTTGGAGGAATACCGATGAACATCTACCAGACTCAACGGTCTTTATTCCGCAAGATAGTATGTACTTCTCATTTTCTTAGGACCTCAAATCCAACCTACCACGTCACGTGTCAGACTGCGAGTTGATTTGTCCGTTAGCAGCACTGGGCGTGGGGCGGACAAAGAAAACACAGTCTCATCTATTGTTGCGAGTTGGGCCATGTTTGCAGAGCATTTGCCTGGCAACACGTTGATCAAATCCACCCTACCGTAAGTTTATCGTAAAAACAGTCTTATTTTGATACGAAGAAAGTAAATGTGATATGTCTACGTGATACGTATCTGTGTCTTGTAAAATGTCCCAGGGGAAACAAGAAGACTAACACGTATGCCCTGTCACCTTAGTTACACGCCTAGTTACAATAATTTAACGGTTCATACCAAAAAAATCCGAAAAATAAACACAGATTAAATTCATAAATGACAGCAAAATTTTTCACATATCTTAGAAAATATCACTGTTATTTCCAGGCCCTTACAATGCGTTTCGGGACGTTTTCTTGGCCTCGTAACTCCATACAAACTCCATATTTAATATTCACGCTGACATGGAACTCATACAGAACGTTGGTACTGTGCCAGTACACTTCGGGAAGCATGCGTGTCGAAGTTCGATCAGAGTTTGAACTATCCTGACACATTATTCCAAGGTTTATCTCTATAGTTTGAGATCCCATGTTTAGATAGTGCCTTAAATATGTTATTATGGATCTCTCCTTCCGCCCTTCTACGTCTTCATACCATCATCACCCTCTTTTAACTTAAATGGTAAAAATCTCTGTTCATAATATAGTATATATTCATTACGTTAACCTTAGTGAACACTCAGAATTACTAGGTTTTTGGACTCTTTCCATCGTCAGGTATTCTAGAGGTAAGAAAACACAACGTTTCGGAAACTGGATCTGTTTCCGTCTTCATGAGAGGGGGAAGACACCTTAGAAAGAGCTAACCTCTATCACTTGAGCCAGTGACTGAGGTTAGATCTTTCTAAGGGACGCAATTCAGTAGGTGTCTCCCCCTTTCCCTGAGGACGGAAACAGATCGAGTTTCCGGAACATCATGTTTTCTTGTCTCTAGAATACCAGACGATTAAAAAAGTCCAAAAAATTAAGTAATTCTGAGTGTTATACACCATCGTCAGAACCCTTTAGAATCTAATTAACCTTCCTGCTTAACTAGATTATTATACTGTCACGCATGAAGGGTTTGCGTGGCTAATATAAGGGGTTCTGGATTGCATGATTGGATTTACTAGAACTTCTTTCACAGTTATGACAAGTTCCAACAGTTCAGGATCGATGACTGTCTAAGGCTCACTCCCTTCCTTACTGGACTACGAGTGTCTTCTCTTCTGTGTGACTGACTTGGTTCTGATTTACGAATCGGTCACTTCTTCAGCTTCCGCTGTCCGCAGGTTAACACTTCACAGCTGAACACTCAACTCTCTGACGAATCAATCAACTCACGAATGAACTCCCTTTTAAAACTTGGGGGTAACCGACGAGATATCATCATCTCGAACAATTCGTGTATTACTATTTGTGTTTGGTCCGTTGCTATGAAACGTGCCTAGCGAACAGTTGCCCAGCAACAGATTATTCCGTGTCTATTCGTTGCAGCAGGAACGTGTGTTCGGCAAGTCGTTGGCTAGCAAAAGACTTCCGCTGTGGCTCCACTATTCCGGCTTTCAGGCGTCATGTCAGTATATTTCTGCGTTGTCTCAAATTACGTCCACGTCATATTCTAAGAACAGAGGCCAACTGGCTCATAAGATTACCATATTCTGGGATGCGATCTTGTGAAGTTTCGTAGACGGATACCTGTTGCCCGAAAATAACAGCAGAAGACGGATGTGACGCCGTGTAATTTGGAAGACACCGACGTTTCGGAGAAACCCACTACCTTCATATTTAGGATAAAAAAATTGGATATAATGTCATGTGATGTGGTAGATATGCATCAAAGTTTTGGGAGAAACCTGCAGCAGGTTCCTCCGAAACAGTGAAATCTATCTAACAATTTGCATGGCGTCACAGTCGCCCTTAAGAGAGCCTGAAATCTCGCACAATCACGATGCGATTTGGACCTACCTCAGCTGCTGACGCCCTGTTGCCGGTGGCTGCGAGCTGGTCGTGTAGCGGGGATATCTGGACATTGCTCACTTTCATTGCGCCGAATCACAGTTGCCAATCTGGAAACAAAGCATTAACCCCTCATTACCCTGAAGTCAGTTCCCACCACATCAACAGGCGAAGCAAAACTGCCATCACACTTTTGTGTCCCCACAAAATTCAGACACAATTAAGGGTAAGATTATGGCTTCTTCAATTAAACATGACGCCACGAAGGCGTAGAGAAGGGGGTGAGGTACAGTATATCTAAAGGCATTCTTAACCTCAACCCTAGACGGGATAGCGCAGTCGCTATAGCGACTGGTTACGGGTTGAATGACCAAGGGGTCGGAGTTCGAGTCCCGGTGGGGGCAAGAATTTTCACTTCTCCATGTCGGTTAGACCGGCTCCAGTCACTTTAGCGGATAGAGGGTGTCGCGTGGTCAGCGAAATGAATCCCCACGGCCGTTTATCTCGGTTTTCTAGACCGGAGCCGCTATTTCCTTGAAACAGCTCCTCAATTACCTTCACGAGGCTGAGTGGATCCCGTTCCAGACCCAATACTTCTCAGAAACTGGAGGCGCCGGGAATCGAATCCAGAACCTCGGACCACTAGACCACAGAGGCCGTCACTCAAGAGTAAGAAAAAGGAAAAACTTCGGAGGTCCCCCTTTTTGAATTCTTTCCATCTGCATAACAGAGCTACATGAATTTAAATAATTTTTAAGTACACAGTTCGTGTCTTACTGTTATGTTCGTTCCGAGAAATATGTAGGTCACAGTTTTCTTCATGAGTGTCCGGCTAACATAGGCCTTTTAGGCGGAACATGAAGCATGAAATGGAAAACGTTTTGAAGGTCAAGCATTCTGCTTCGGCTAATGGCCGAACACAGTAGCCGCGCCGTCTAAGGCATTAACTGTCTTCGCCCGCTCGAACGCTGGGATCGTGGGTTCGAATTCCACTCGAGACATGGATGTCTGTGTGTATTTATTCTGTGTTTATGTTGTCCTGTGTGTAGGTAGCGGCCTTGCGACGGGCTGATCACTCGTCCAAGGAGTCCTGCCGTCTGTGTAAAGAAAATATTACGGAAATGAAGAAGAGGCCAGGGCCCAACAAAGGGCTGTTCAGCAATTCATGAATGGAATGAATGAAAATTGATTTGAACAGAAATGACTCAAAATTTGGTCTCTAGTGAGATTTTTGTGTTAGCTACGTCATGCTTCGGTTTCTAACGCAACAGAGTCCGTTGCTTCGTTGAGGATAGCGTTGAATTTTCTGGAGAATGACTAATTTCTGGGTCTATCAGAGGAAAGGAAAGGAAAGGAAAGTAACGCTATTATTTTCTGGGATATGAGGTCATATAATTTGTTACAAGTTTACTGAAATTTCAGAGGAGTGTACTACCTCCATCTTCAGGGCCGACAGGTAAGCTCAGCAAGCAAGAAGAGAAATCTATTTGTTGCTTGCCTGCTGGCTTGACTTACCCTTACGCTGATGATGCAGGCTGCAGGTTCCTCCGAAACTTCGGAAAGCTTCTAACAGACTACACGTCCCAGAAAATACGTAGTACTACCCATACTCAGCGCCGTTAACGTCAAATCCAAGAACATTACATAAAGGTCTGTGTACGTCCGTTATCCCAGAGAGCATCTGCTTGCTAACTGTTCGCTGCTCTACTTTCCCTGAACCGCTTACAGGTTGCCTGCCTCAGTCCGATGACTATGCTGGGCAGATTCCCAAACATGACCCCACCCTCCTAGACTTCACCAAACTCTCAACCCCCCAATACTTTACTGAAATCAATGTAACACTTTGCACATGTACTTATTTACAATTAAATGACTCGCCATTAGTGCCATACTAAAACCGTGATTAAACAATTAAAATTCTTAAAACAAAACACTGTACAATGTTCTTTATTTGGCGGGGAACTGCCAACAACTGCTGAAATCAATCAATCAATCAATCAAACAAAAATCTATATGTGGCTCTACAGACCTCTGTTGGACCTTGGCCGATTTTTCAGTTTCTTGATCCTATACACAGTCGGTAGGACTCTTTGGACGGGGGATCAGCCCATCACAAGGCTGCTATCTACACACAGGACAACACAAACACAGAATAAACGCACACAGACATCCATGATTCGAGTGGGATTCGAACCTACGATCCCAGTGTTTGAGTGGGCGAAGACAGTTCATATCTCAGGCCGCGCGGTCATTGTGACCGACTGTGCCTAAGTCTGACCCCTCTCATTCTGATGACATCTGGATTAACAGTTCTGACGTTTGTTTGAGGAAGAGGTGATTAGGCTATACAAAATTCAGCTAACAATAATTATTTCCGTTAAATTACTATAAATCGGCGTTTTTCTCGAGGCATCAGCCCCCCCCCATGCAGTTGGTAACCATTGAGGTTCCAAAATACTGTATCTGCAAGTTGTTAATTCCCAGCTGACAATGGTTATGCGGGATAAGCAGGTTACATAATACTGTCTTCAAACATCCTGTTATATTTATAGAGTATGTCTTTTCGTACACATATATTTCCTTCTTATTTAGTCACCTTCCTTCCTCACTACATGTTTCGGCGGCATACGGCCATCATCAAGTGTTCTCTATCTTGCTAAAACTGTTGCACTATTTATCAGAGTTACGTATCACGTGTGAACCCGATATTTCCTAAATAAAATAAATTAACTTTGAATTAAAATTCGTTAACATCTTAACGTTACATTCAGTGTGGTCGTCATCCATTAATTTAAGAAATATTCGCTTGAGAGTATTTATCGTTGTTGGATTCATTCGCGCTGCATTCGCTGACTGAGTGTTATGATCTGTACTGTGTATTTTTTTTATTGCTGGTGGGGTAGGACTAAGTCCCTTGTACTGCGGCCACTTCTGGCCTATTGTACCAGCCCCAGATGATAGGTGAGGGTGATTGTGGAGCAATTGGTGGAATGAAGATTGGCAGGGGAAATCGAAGTACTGGGAGAAAACCTGCCCCAGCGCCACTTTGTCCACCACAAATCCCACTTGACCAGCCCCCCGGGATCGAACCCGGGATGCCGAGGTGGGAAGCCAGCGACTAACCGCTTGGGCTATGACGCAGCCTTATCTGTACTGTGTAAATAATGTGTTGTGTTATATATTTTCATCGTTAGATTTATAAGTGTTGATACTTATTTATAGCTGTATTTGCATGTGTTATGCGTGCAGTTCGTAAGAACGTCGATATAGTGTTATTATCAGTGTTATCTGAAATATGTAAAGAATATATCTTTATATGTTGTGTTCTTGTGTTTTTTATGTTAGTTTACTTTTTATGCTCACGTATGCCTCACTGTCTTGTAGGTATTTCCACGCTGCTAGATAGTTATGTGGCTTGTGTATGTTGATATTGTGATCGTTCAGTGTGACTGATCCTGTTTTTATAACATGACTTTGGGTGCGTGTGCTGTTATCTGGCGTAAAGCTCGTATAATGTCTCACATATGATATGGGGTTGTATGTGTCGATGTACGACACATACTCTGTCATTCATATGTAGGATATCTTTACCGATTCTATAAATATGATAGTTTCTAAGGTATCTAAATATCTGCCTTTCTGCCCTCTTTTTACGAGTATAATATCCATAGTATCTGATATGGTTCCATATGTATTCCTTGTGTTTAGTATAGTGTTTGAATATCCAGAATTGCTGTTGTTACTTCTGATGGCGTGAATGTGTCCTTTACATCTAATATTAAGCATTCTTCCTGTTTCTCCGATGTATTTTAGTGCATAAGCTAGGTATTCCATTTGGTAAATGGCACTTCAGTTACATTCGAGACATTACACAAGCTTTACGCCAGACAGCAGCATACATATATACACACACACACACACACCCGTCATGTCATAAAAACAGGATTAGTCACACTGAACGCTCATAATTGCTCATAATGTTTACACACACAAACCACTTAACAACATAACTGGTCTAGCAGCGTGGAAAAACTACAATCCAATGGGGCATACGTGAGTATAAAAAGTAAACTAACATAAAAACATATTATAATAATAATCCTTTACATTGCAGACAACATTGATAACACTACATCGACATCCTTACTAACTGCACAAACATACGTAAATATAACTATGAATACTTATAAGTCTAACATTAAAATTATATAACATAACATGTTATTTACACATTAGAGACGATACCCACGTTACAAAGCGAATACAGCGCGAATAAATCCAACAACGGGGAATACCCTAAAGCGAATATCTTTTAAATCAATGGATGACCACCACAATGGAAAACATTAAAATGTTAATTAATTTTAATTATAGCTTAATTCATTTTATTTAGGAAATATCGCGTTCACACTAGATACGTAATTTTCACATACACTGCAACAATTTTAAAATGATATACAACGCCTGATTGATGCGGTCGAAACATGTAGCGGAATGAGAACGGTGACTGGATAATAAGTTGAAGTTAAGAGGGAAATATATGTGAACAAGAATAGGTTACATACAGGGAATACTTTTTGACACTGTTACTTCTAACAAAATAGTTTTCTTATCGTCTTTATTTAACGACGCTGTGTCACCTGCATATCTTATATTACATTTGAATGTAAAGCATGATCATGAAAAGTGATTTTTAAAAGAAGAGAGCTGCAGCTGATGAAGCCAGTTATAAACAAGGAGGGCCTGCAGACAACCAAGGAAACCTCAGTTTTCAGGCTAACCTTCCGCTAACCTCTATATAGAAACGTAAGTATTTAAAGAAAGGAGGTGTTCGAAGTACCTCCTTAAAATTATTATTTGTTAATTTAAGTCATAATGTGTGTTTGGTAAAACAAGAGTAGGTAAATGTTACTTAAAATTTATTGACTATTTTTGCTTTCTTTGTTTTATTCCGTCACTACAATAGGAAGTGTAGCCGCACCGTGCATGTTTCACACACAATACGATGCTAAAACGCTGTCACGTATTTATGGGAGTATCTGTTAATAACGGATTTGGATTGGATGATTGGATTTATTGCTCGCTTCTTTACAATATCTCGTATATAACT